ATTTTTAATTTATGATTCACAGTTTCGTGATTATTATCCATAAAAATATGTAAAAGAAGACAGCACACTGAAGTACTAGAAAAAATGGCACGCCCAATACGCTAAGTGAGTGCCCCATTGGATCCCTCCATCGGTGTTGATTGCCCATAGCTGCGACCCTGTCGGACAGAGAGAAGCGAGCATCGAAGCACATGGCGGCAAAACATCGTGTACATGTTGCCAACGAACATTTTCTCGACCTACTCAAAATGTATATCGTTCTGACACTTCTATCGGGCCGTTTCTTCTTCAGAAATGTCTACAGAATCCGATCCTGGGTAGAGTTTTCGTGCTGAACAAAGAACTTTTCGTAAAAATACAAAAATATTGCGGAGAAACTGCGCACGTCGCACTTTTTTAAACTTTGACATTAATTTATTGATATTTAGGACCAAAAACAATTAATACATTGCATGCCACTATATTCGGGAAACTCTCCTCTATCTTTTAACACTAATTAGAACTTTCTAACGTTTGTACTTTTCATGCAATACCTCATTTTTGTCGAAAATTTTGGGTTTTTACAAAAGTTCGTTTATTTAAAAAACTGAGGGTGATGGAGCAATTCGGTTTTCGGATTCTTGTTCAGGGAGTGAAGCTCTACAAGAATTTCATAGTGGCTATAGGAACCCAGAAAAAAAGTTTGATTTTGTCGGACAGTGTAACATTTCCGATTTATGCTTTTATACGTATAATGAATCAGAAGATCAATTATTTGCTTTCGCCTGTATCTCGGTAACTTAAACATCATTTCCTATTAATTCATTTTAATATAGTGTTATTAATGAGTTCTTCTGAAGAACCAAATATGCATTAGACGCATATATTAGATATTGTATGAAATATAGAAAAATATCTCTATATGTATACATATTTTTCTATATTTCATACAATATCTAATATATGCGTCTAATGCATATTTGGTGTATATATATATATATATTATATAATACATATAATACATATATTATATGTAGTATACATATAGAGATAAACTATAAGTATAATGTATAAAAATAACGTAGGTATTATGGTGTAATAGTTTGTTGGTGGCGATCAAAATACAAACTTAATATACGGAAATATATATACGGAACGATATAAATGATGAGTAAAATTTAATAGACAAATAAGTTGATGTAGAAAAATGTTTTTGATTTTACATAGAGTGACCTGTTCAGTGAATGAACAGTTAAGCTGCATGTTTGTTAAAGTGATCATTCGCAAATCGTGACTTAATCTGAATGAAATTATCGTAAGCGAGCTACTTGGATGATCTTTGCTACTATCGTCATAATACACGAACACAATTCTAGCATTTTTTGATAGTTATATTGTATTTTTGAAACTATAATATACAATTTTGTGATAAATACGTCAAACGACCAATGAATGGATAAAAATCGTTAATAAATCACATATTCTAGTGATTGTATTATAACGGAATTAATGATCGAATGTCGTGAAAACTTGCCATATTTACAATCTTTAATTGTTGTAGCACATATTAACGGCAACCAATTTCGACGAAGTTTTCAACATGCATATAAGTTACAGATATTCCTAAAATAAATTGTTTAAATTTTTATCGTAAGCCTGGATAAGAAAGTTGGAGAACATAATTTTTAATTTTACTTATCTTGAACCAATTAATAAAACTGCTAATTAAATAAATGAAAAGTGAAACCAGTTATAGATAAAAACAAAATGATGTCTACACACATCTATGGGTATACAGGGTGTCCCATAAGTTACTCAAAATTAGGAAGCGAGGGGTTCTTGAGGTCATCTGAAGTAACTATTTTCTTAGCGCAAATGCAATCCGCGGCTTTGATTACGAGTTGTTAACAAAAAACAGTGACCAATGAGCGGAACTGGGGTTCATCCGCTCGTTGGCTGGGCGTTGGCCTTGCCTCTCATTGGTCACTGTTTTTTGTTAACAACTCATAAACAAAGTCGCGGATTGCATTTGCGCTAAGGAAAAAGTTACTTCAAATGACATCAGGAACTCCTCATTTCCCGATTTCGAGTAACTGTTGGGACACCCGGTATACTAAAACTACCATATGTGCCGCATACCGATGGGGCACGAAACAAGTATTCCGCGACGCTGTAACTGCATGGCGTGAAAAATAAATTTTCAGTCGAATAAGCGAGTTCTTAACAATTGAACAAACTTCTCCAGCGACAGCTACGTATTTTCGGTCTGTTCCGCGTAATGATTTTATCGCAGCCCGAAGTTCAGTACCCTTAACCTTAACCCGAGAAATAAGTACCGTCGAGTAACAAAATCTATCCGCCTTTCTGCAGTCTCTGCAGGCCGAAGCTCCCAAGACGCATAAACTGTTTACAGAAGTTTAAATACTAGATGGTTATGTGTAATCACGAAACATATTTATCTGGCGGCTCTCAATTAAGAACTTGAACGTTCGAGACGTTATTAAATTGTCATAAAACTCGTTTAACGGTTACGGTTCTGCAACTTCGAACCTGTCGTTCTAAGAGTGGAAGAGGTCGGACGTAAACTATAATTTCTTCGGTCTTTATGATCAAATATGTTTCCCGAGAGAATTCTCCAAGGATGTTCTTCGGAAGAAGTCTTCTGGAATATTTTCCAGGAAAGCAACAAATATTCGAAATATCACTGGTTTAATAAATATTGCACAGCCCAAAGTGTTAAGTATCGAACGCGGCGTAAAAGAATCGCCGAAGAGTCGGCTGGGAGGTTTGTTGCTTAGTTACGGAATTGTAACATCAAATTGAAGTTTCGAAATTTGATCAACAAGCATAAAATGACATTCAAGCATTTTTAATCATTTACGGTACTTTACGATAATTCGGTTTTTGTTAAACAAATTCATTATGAACTAGAATAGTTAAAACACTTCTGTCGACTATAAGGATCAGAAAAGTTATGTGAATTAGTATTAAGACAAATTGTGGTTTCTTCTAACAAAGCACAAATTCTTAATTTAGTGTTAAAATATTTTTGTTGAATGTGGTGAATCAACTTCTTTTACAATCTTCTTTTAAATTCTACCGATGATCATCGACACATCGATAGCTCGGAACATTACGATTATAACAAGCAAATATTGCACGAACGTTCTCTGTAGAGGTTTACGTAAAAGCCGTATAAAGCTCTGTGTAGGAGGAATAGATTGTTCGGTAGAATTCAGGAGAAAGTTCCACAGCGAAATTCGATTTCCACGTTTTGTACTCCTTTAATGAAACGTTATTTAAGTATGAAACGACGCGAAGGGCGTAAGAATTTAATCTCCATCGTTTAAAGTTTAAACCGAAAATGAAATTATTTGAGATTTAATCAAAGCCACGCTTCTTTTACCGTTAAGAATCAAAATTGATCGAAATTGAAATTTGCTGATATAAGGTCAATCGAATCGTCATAATCGTAATTTGAGCGACACGACGTAACCAAACGAGAGCAGCAAACAATAGATGCCTATCTGAAGATATGTTTTTCTTGATTTTACAGCCTCGCGTATTCGATATGAGATCACGAGCGGTAACGTAGGCGGCGCATTCGCTGTGAAGAATATGACTGGCGCCATTTACGTTGCGGGTGCATTGGATTACGAGACGAGGAAAAGGGTAAGTACATTACTCTGTGACTGAACAAAAGAAAATAAAAAGAAAAGGAAACAGGAAACCCTGTAACACTGAACCTTGCAAAATGTAAAAGGAATATACTTTTACATAATATACTAAATAATATATTATTTCTAATATACTTAATATATTCTTTTTGTGGCACAAAACGGCGAGCATAATACCACCGTGAAATAGTATAGAAAGCATTTATATTCATTGTACGGTTGCTTCCGTCGTATTATTTATCGTTACTTTAATCCATTCCATTTATAGTGTCACCTCTCAGGGTACATAACAAAACTTCTGATAATTATGATAATAATCAAAATTAATAACTTTGCCAGATTTTATTTAAAAAGACTAATTATTATTCTTTAATATTCGCACAAATCACAATCTTGGATCTTACTCCTGGCCTTTCCACCTGCTTAAACACAAGTGTAGTTGTATCCCCACCCTTTCACTGCGCATACAATCTCAATCAATGAATCGTGAGCTAATCAGAGCAAATCAATTTCTATTCCTACCCTCGCTGACTGATCAAACTGCGGTTTGAAGCCGTGCAAGAGTAGAAACCATTGCTGTATCAATTTTGTAAGCCGCAAAAATTCTCCCAGTGCGAAGGGTTAATATTATTGCTACTGAATTTGCCAAATTGGCGGCAAGTATTATTGTATCAACCGCATCATGTATACCATATTATTACTTTTACAATGTAATTTTATGATGTTGATTTCCAACATTTTACCAACCACCTAAACTTAGCTGTTTAGTGTAAAGGCTCATTAACTCCTTGTAACCGTTATTTCTTATACGAGAAACGATCATAAATTTACCATCACATTATTAGTCGCGTTCACATACAGTAAATTCTCTCCGATTGTTCCTCAGTTTGTGAATAAAAATGGACAATTTGGGAAGAAGAGATACGATTATTCGAGCCTTACGACTCGTTTGACAATCGGCAACTATAAAAACGAGCCGTGAGGCTTGAATAATCGTATCTCCTCTTTCCAAATTGTCCATTTTTGTTTACAAGCTCAGAGACAATTAAAGAGAATTTACGATAGTACGGTAAAGGTGACGCAAAAGGGACACTTTCGTTCCGAACACAGTAAACAAAAATTATCATAGGAATTATCATTTGACTATATAAATAAACGTGGTATAGTCGTCTACACGACATTTTGAGATCGTAAAATCGGCCATGCCCGTATGAATAAATCATGTTCGGGAGTCGAAATAGTGAACTTTTACGGAGAAATTTTGAATCCAAATCGTATTCAAATTAAAGTCCATTGTCCCAACGTAATTACTTTATCCCTTTCACAAATTGATGGCACTGAAAGGGGCATTGCTATTTCTGAATGGGACAGCTTAATAAATAAGTATAGTTAAAATATGCATCCAGTACTTTACTTGCGCTAAAACGATCTCGCGTTTTAAAAGGACATTCAAGACAAAAATGTTTGAAGATGAAATAAGTGTGTATTCTTGTGGTGAAGTTTTGAAAGCGCTAATATGGAAAGGATGTTAGATTCATGACGATCTTTTGTGTACCAAGTTTACTATGCATTCGTTAGATGTTTGTTTTTTTTTTTTTAATATGTCAGTATTCTCAGGAGTCATTTTAAATTTCACTTATTACGGACGCTATTACTCCAATATTATGTGTTCACTTGTTCCTTGAATCTTGCAGTACGAGCTTCGACTTACTGCTTCCGATAACTTGAAAGAAAATCACACGAAGGTCGTCATACACGTGAAGGATGTAAATGACAATCCACCTGTCTTCGAACGTCCGATTTACGGAACGCAGATCACGGAGGAAGACGATAGAACGCTGCCGAAAGATGTCCTACGGGTAATTTACTCTTTTAACTCCGGAGAGAGTTTATACTCTCTTAGATTATTTCGTAAACTGTTAGAAAATACCGCATGTATGAAGAGTAATCTTGAATAGTGTAGTAACAAAAAGTTTTTAACAAGTCGAAATATAACAATGTATTTTCTAAATAAATACAGAGTCTGACAACGATTGCTTAAATATTTGTTAATTTTTCAAGGAAGTCTCTTTACATATGATTACAACACATCGAATATACATATGTACATACGTTCAATATACAAAATATGTTTTTATTTTTATTTTGTTTTACACAGGTCACGGCTACCGATGGCGACAAGGACAGAGTACAAAGTATTGTTTATTTCTTAACGGGTCAGGGAATCGATCCTGATAATCCAGCAAATAGTAAATTCGACATTAATCGCACCAGCGGAGAAATCTACGTATTACAGGTTTGTATAATTTGTGATCTGTACTGTCATCCAAGTTCATAATCTATTGTAAATTTCCAATTCTGTTATGTTGTTCTCCTTCGATTTATGTCGTTTTACTTCTTATTAATTTATGTATTTTCAAACAATATTTTCTAAAATAAATTATGAACAACTAAGATCATGAATAACATTATATATTTTGTTATAATAATCATGCATTACTATATTTTTTATATTATATGTTTATAGTCTGTCAACTATAATGTAATTTGTAGTAACTTTCGTGGAAAAATGAAACGTAAATTATCTGTTCACGATGATTACTAGACTACGGATTTTCATGAAAAACAAGAATTTTCTGCATCTGAACAAACAGCAGTCACTTAGAAGTTTCATTTAGTTTTTAAGATTTTCAGAATGAGAAAAATATTACATAGATATTATGAAATGTTCTTAATTTTTCAATTGTTTCAAATTAGAAATACACATTTTTATCATATATACATAAAATCCTCAGTCTAATGATTACAATTCAGTTCAAGAAAAGGCAACTACACAGACCAAGAGAGACAATACAGCCAACTTTGACATTATATTTCGGGGTCATTGGAAGCCAAACTTCAAAAGTGTCTTTTGTGATTTCAATAGTTACCAAGATAATATACCATTCGTGTAAATATTTTGTAGAGTTTTGTGATTTTTCAAAAAATCTATAATCGGTTAAAAGCCAATTTCTTTGGCGCCATGCGTTCAGAATCCTAGTTCCGTATTTTATTAAAATTTCCTCTTGTGGTCAGTTGTTAAAACTTCAAACATGCAAATTATTATTATATTTTTCCAGCCATTGGATAGGGATCAACCGAATGGGAGGCCTCAGTGGCGATTCACTGTGTTTGCTCAAGATGAAGGCGGAGAAGGTCTGGTCGGCTACGCTGATGTTCAAGTGAACTTAAAGGATATTAATGACAATGCGCCAACCTTCCCACAGGGAGTTTACTTTGGCAATGTAACGGAAAATGGCACAGCAGGTACCGTACTTGCTAAACACAATTTAATGTGATATGACAGGAGTGACAAACTTCTTCTCCGTCGCAGGCCGTATGCTTTCTCCTTTCAGCTAGTTAGTTCTCCCACAACCAAAAATGTGAGTGACGAGAGGAATTGACATGTGTGCGGCATGTGAAGCATGAGTGTGAGTGTGGTTACGTGTACACGTGGGCTACGAGTGGTCCGCGGACAGCCAATTTGTCATCCCTGTCATGTGAAAATACAATTTTTTTTTGGGTCCTCAACGTGGGTCCTCTAAAATTCGTCTCTGTGCATCGTTGTCTAACAGCCACTCAGCTGCAACCGCAACACCAGTCACGTGATCGTTCTGTTTACATTTTGTGCCAGTTTTCATTGAACGTAGAATAGTATTGGGCATTCTAATGACTTGTATCTATATACAGGTCGAATCTGGAAGTTTGTTCCAAAGCGCTCGAGCCGGTCAAACATATACATACATAAGTCGACTTATAAAAACAAGGCAAAACTGTCGAAATAAAGCGTACACTCCTAAACCGTACAACCCTTCAAGAACAGTATCCTCATTCCTTTATATAACGCCTGTCATTTTTGGACACTTTTTCATAAATTTAATTTCGTTCCGCCTTGTTGCAATTTGATTCTGATTTGGCTTGAATTGGCTTGACTTATGATCAAGCTTTAAACCAAAGATTCACTTGATTGTAAGTACTGGTCGTTCAAGCTAATTGGAGGCTTGAATAAGCTTATTGGCTTGATTACCAAACATTACCTATGATTATAGTCAGCATCAACAGTTGATGCTCATTGGTAGTGCTGAGTATACAAGTCCACTATATTCAGATGAGTCGTTGGCTTGAAGCTTGATTGTGAGTCAAGCCAAACCTGGAACAAAGCAAAACGAAATTGAATGTTCGAAAAACTGTCCAGATATGTAAAGTGTTATTTAAAGGATCTACGCGGACATAGGCCGTATTTCGACCGTCTCGCCTTATTTCGACAATTCGACTTGGAACAACCATCAAGCTGACAAGCTTGTTAAGCACAATGATTCCATCTGTACATAGGTACAAGTCATTAAAATTAATCGAATTCTTGAATAGACTTATTGGCTTGAGAATCCAACACTACTCATTGGATAATAGAGTAGAATTGTTCCGTGTTGCGGTAGCGCATTCGCAAGTAGAGTCACCGTAGCGGAAAGGTTACGAATATGTAACAGCAATAATGTTTATTACCAATTGACAAGACCTGCTCATATAAATGAGGAATCTATGATAATACTGTCCAACATGATTTTTGATATATCCTATAGCCACTATGAAATTCTTGTAGAGCTTCACTCCCCGATCAAGAATCCGAAAACCGAATTGCTTCATCACCCTCAGTTTTCGAAAAAAACGAGCTTTTGTAAAAACCTCAAATTTTCGATAAAAATGAGGTATTGCATGAAAAGAGTAAAAACGTTAGAAAGTTCTAATTGGTGTTAAAAGATAGAGGAGAGTTTCTCGAATATATTGGCATGCAATTTATTAATTGTTTTTGGTCCTAAATAGCAATAAATTAATGTCAAAGTTTAAAAAATTGTAGACGTGCGCAGTTTCTGCGCAATATCTTTGTACTTTTACGAAAAGTTGTTTGTCCTGCACAAAAACTCTACCCAGGATCGGTTCTGTAGACATTTCTGGAGAAGAAATGGTAACTAATTATTCATGATACGATCATATGAATAAATAGTCATTTTCAAAACGTTCTTCTCGAAACATATTGTTAAATATATATTTAAATATTTATTTAATTATATGGCGTAGAAGTCAAAATTATACTAGTGTTAGAATACTTTCGTTACCCACTGCAAATACTCTGGTGTGATTTTTTGTGTGAAATATATCATAGTTTGGTGATTATTATCCACAAAAATATGTAAAAAAGCAGAACATTGAAGTACTAAAAAAAATTCAAATATTATTTACGAAAAGTGGGTGCTCAATTGGATCCCTCCATCGGTGTTGATTACGCATAGCTTCGGCCCTGTCAGACAGAGAGAAGCGAGCAGCGAAGCACATGGCGGCAAAATATCGTGTACATGTTACCGACGAATACATGTACATCGTTCCGACGCTTCTATCGGGCCGTTTCTTCTTCAGAAATGCTGCAGAATCCGATCCTGGGTAGAGTTTTCGTGCTGAATAGAGAACTTCTCGTAAAAATACAAAAATATTCCGGAGAAATTGCGCACGTCAACACTTTTTTAAACTTTGACATTAATTTATAGTTATTTAGGACCAAAAACAATTAATAGATTGTATGCCACTATATTTGAAAAACTTTCCTATATCTTTTGAGATCGATTACAACTTTTTAACGTTTGTACTTTTCATGCAATACCTCATTTTTTTCAAAAACTGAGGGTGATGGAGCAATTCGGTTTTCGGATTCTTGTTCGGGAAATGAAGCTCTACAAAAATTTCATAGTGGCTATAGGAAATCAGAAAAATAGTTGATTTTGTCGGACAGTGTAATTGTTCACTTTAGCGGATTTTTCAAAATTTTGCTAAATTATTTTATCTTCTGTTTAAAGTGAAAGTTTTACACTGAAACCAGATACATATACATAAATTATCCAGGAAATTTTTCATTAATCATACCAAAGATGACAGAGAAAAGTCAAACTAAAAAATCAAGGCTACATAATCATTATCTTCTGTTTAAAGTGCTTTAGTTCTACACTGAAACCAGATACGTGTACATAAATTATCCAGGAAAATTTTCATTAATGGTGCCGAAGATGAAGGAGAAAAGTCAAAATAAAAAATTAAGGCTACATAATCATGTCCGGTAAAGTAGGGACTGGATGAAAAAGTGAAAGTCGGAATTCCCGCACTACTAGTACATGCGCTAAACCTTTATACGTAGACTCGGCTGTAGGGAAGTATACAAAGAACTCGAAACAAATGAAGATGAATCATAGATATCTGGGTAAAGACAGATTGGAACTGCCTTTGACAATGTGGTACTCGTTACTCCGAAGTTGTAACCTCTTTTATATCATAAATTCGATAAAAAGACCTGGTCCAATTATCGGTTTTCCTCATGCGAAGAGTTGCATTTCATGAAGCCCATGTGCCGAAAAAGTGGTAATTTTGATCTATTAAAGTAAAGGGATCTATTAAATTCTGGCATGCTTGTCTTGCAATTGACATCGGTTCGCAGTCTTAGAAATTATAAGCGGAAACACAAACACAAACATAAACGTAGTTCTGGGTTAGATCTCCTTAAACACTCAAATCCATTGACAAAGAAGCAACTGCGGTAGATCAGTATTGTAATTCGGATGTCTTGACTTTGAATTTCAGGTGATACCTATCACAAAAGCCAATAAACAAATTTGTATACTTCCATTTAAATTTCAAACAAGCCCCATGAATAAAACTAGTAGAAATTATGTTAACAAAATAAGAAAAATTTATATGTGGTTTTTAAACAAAATAAAATGATTTTATTTTCTCAAAGTTCCTGGTATATGATGAACTTCTTAAACTAGCTTTCTCAAATGTAAGTCGATTGAAATAGGCAAAATTCGAAAAAGTACTACAATAAATATTTACCAAATAATTTGAGTAAATTTTTAGAAAATGGATAAGAATGAAAAATACATATTACTAGAGACTCGCAGTAATGCAACAAGGGTAGCATAGACAAAAGAAAGCAGCAGGATTTACAGGAAAACAAAGATTTGCATAAAGATTCACAGTTTACTTACTATCTTGACATATTGTGATGAAACATAATACTTATTTTCGAATGAAATGGACTATTGTAATCTATCTCCATGCTTTAAACGACCAACTTTATTTACTTCTTAATGTCCATTTCAGGAATGGTTGTAATGACAATGACAGCGATTGATTACGATGATCCAAATGAAAGCACCAACGCGAAACTGGTTTATTCGATTGAAAAGAACGTCATTGAAGAAGAGACTGGTTCACCGATTTTCGAAATCGAATCAGAAACTGGCGTCATAAAGACTGCGGTATGCTGTTTGGATAGAGAGCGCACCCCAGATTATTCTATACAGGTCGTTGCAATGGATGGAGGGGGGTTAAAGGGTAAGTATTGAAGCAATTCTCTATTTATCGAAAAATTAATCTCTTGTTTATGAAAACTTTCTTTCCCATAAAATTTCCCTTAAAGGAAAGAGCAGTAATAGTAATAAAAAAAGTAATAGTACATACTCTCCATAACTAGCGCAACTTCGGGCATTATAAGTGCAGGGGATAACTAAAAAGGAATGAGGAACTTATGGTCAAGGTGTTCGGCAAACATTAAAGGATTCAAGCGAGCTCAGTCTTTTAAATTAAAAAATCAAAGTTCCTTATTTTTTGTTTTTCCTTTAATGAAACGTTTATCATCCATTTCTCGTGCTATCCTAATTAAAATACTAAACACGAAGTAATTACGATTATATGTAATAAGTTGAAGTCCGAAACATTAAAGGAGCTGTCACAGAAGCAATTATGATCATAATTATATCGTGTTCAGTGTTATGTTAAAAAATTCATAGAAAAGAATAAAAAATGAGAGAAATTGCAATCGTTGGCTTTGCTTGCTTTAGTGTAAATTTCACAGATACTCAACATCTCGTTAGCTCTGTTGAATATGTTTAACCCTTAGCGGACGAGAAGCGAGTCTCGGTCCTATTATGTTAGATCTTGCCTTTATGTTAGATATCGTTATCTCCAATATTGTTCAACGTACTGTTTTATGAGAAAGTCCCTGAAGTGGTGGCGCAAATTATTTTTTTGGGGACTGGAAATTTGTTTAATCAATTCATACATTCTCTACAAACATGTAAAAAGGTAGAGAAACGAACAACCAGTTATACATTTGGAATTTCGCAAAATTTTGATCAACAAATTGAGAGGAGATTTTCGTCAACCAGGAGATAGATCTTCAAGTTCGACGTCCAATTCTGACGAAATTCGTCTAAATGGGAAACTGCATGTAATTGTTACTAGCACAAAGAGAGATTGCAAAGTTTGTTCCAATCGAAACAAACCAGGGGGAAGACATGAGACGACTTATTTCTGTGATACTTGTCCAGATAAACCAAGAATGCATCTTGATCAATGTTTTATAAACTATCACACCAAACGAAATTACAAATCATAATTTTTGTAAAATTATATTCATAAAAGTGTGAATATAGATAAACTAACGAAATATAACGTTTTTGTAAGATAATTTATATGTAAGATCATTTTATTGTACCATATAAGACACTTGTCATATTTGCAAAAATCGTCTCGTCCTGCTACCCGACTCCGCCAAACAAGTCGTCGTCCGCTAAGGGTTAAGGCATGATCAGTGTGACACAGTGAGTGGTTTGTAGAAGATTTTGGGGAAATGTACGGACGCGAGGGGCGCTGTATAAAATGAGTTATGCAAGGAGTGGGGCCATGTATGTGCGTAAGTTCCCCACAGCGACGTGGTGTGTCTACCGTGCGAACGTTATAATTCTGAACTATGATCAGACGGAGGTCTTACGTCGTGTCGCGAACGTAGTTCAAAATTATAATGTTCACTCGGTAGATGTTCACCGGTTCACCCGGTCACACGTAACTTATTTTCTTGACTACGCTGGGCATTACTGGTTTCGAGGAGGAGGATCGCCTCAATACTATGGACACAATTTTGCCAATTACAGTTGTGATCTTTTTCGCAGTTATGGAGAAAATATTCTAGTCATCTATATATGTATATCTGGAATACATTGTACAGCGTTGAGTATCGCACCGTACTCTTTGTGGTGGTATCTTTTCCCAAAAACAATCCATAACTTCATACGTATCTTATAAACATCGAAACTCTTATATTTTTGAAGTTGCTAAATTTGAATATGTTATTAAAAATGCAAAATTCAAAATGGAAAATTAGACATTACTGACATAAGCATTGTTTCGAACGTATTCTTTGTAAATATCAATAATTTTCCGATATTTACTTATAATTATATATTTGGAATATCAAATTTAATATGCCGATCTTAAGGACCCCGATAATGAAGGAGACATCGGCTAGTGCACGCATTTCCTTATCAAAACATCAAAATCATATCAGACCTCCAGCCACGTGAAGTCATTAGGCCCTCGACTTGTAAGATGAGCTAGACGACTAACGGAATGTAACAAAATTTATTTTTTGAGAGAAGCAAGAAATGTGCAACCTTGAAACTTTGTAATATTACATGACATTGCTATTCGAGTTTGTTAGATGTATAGAAAAGGAATGTGACACTTCAACACGTTCCACATACAACTTATTTGTTTTCTTCTATGCTGCATTTTTATAATGTTTCATTCTTTTGGGTGGAAATATATCCTTCAGTTTTAAACTTAGTATAAAATATCTCTTCACTGCACTAAATAAATACATAAGCGTGTACCATCGGTGGTACACATAGCATCGAACCTGTTAAACTTTAAACATGAACGTCGAAATGCAACGATAAAGAGGAAAGTGAGGATCATCCTTAGTTCGGAAAGTACATTTATAGTCTTACAGTTTTGCAATATACTGTTATAGTTATCCGGTTTTACACATTTTTTATAAGCTTATTTAACACTGCTTGTTGCAGTAGATATACAGGACGCTCCTTATAAGTTTTAAGTTTTGACTTATAATATATGTGTTACGAACCGAGGCTCTAGTGGCATCGCGTGGCCGGAGGTTTGTAGCGATTTTGGTGTTTTGGTAAGGAAATGCGTGGACTAGCTGATGTCTATCTCATCACCGGGGCGTCAGCTATGAGAATAGGATTTCGTCAACTAACCAATGCTTATTTCATAACCGGGGCATCACTAGGTAGGTGAGGGTGTCGAAATGAAGATACACCTTAAGCGGTAAAGGTGTATCTCTGTGGGTTGTACCAACTACTCCTTCGAATCAAGGAATGGAATAATTGACTTTTAACAAATAAGTAGACTGGTAAAAAGTAGTATATTACAAACTTTAGAACAATTACAATTGTATATGTATAAGTGTAATGTGGGTTCTAAATTGCGTCCTAAGTTTGTCGCACTGCGTCGGCGGGGGCTTGTAACCTTGTAACGATATACAGTAACTCGCATTAATATTCGGACACAATATTATTAAAAGAATTATTGCTCCCTTTTATTGTTTATGATAGTATTATTGAATCAATTGTTTTCTCATATAATAAAGCACTTCTTAAAGTAAATAAAAACATAAATTTTGTTTATTTATTGCACATGTTCTTTTCCATAATAAGCGATAAGCAAGATTGTGACAAAATTTAACGACGCAAAAATATTCGAACAGATGTTGTCATCTTAGATGCCAGAGTAAAATACTGTACTACATTGACAACGCCGCTAACACACATTGTTTATAAACAAATTTTATAAACAAATAAAAATTCATTGTGAGAACTCGGTACCACAGAAATTATTGGTGATAGATATCAGTTACTTGTGAAAATGGGACGCAAAGGAAGAAATTTTTAGAAATTATTATTATTAAATATAAGCAAGAGTAGTGTGGTAGATATTACACGTCGATACATTCGTGAGGATTGAATCGATTTAATCCCTCAGAAAGGTCGTCCAAAATTATTAGACTCTCGCGACCAACGCAAGATAATAAGAAAAATAACGAAAGATTCTGGACAGAATGCTACAAAATTAATAAAGGAGTTGTTCGTAGAATCTAGGAAGAAGATTCCCGAACACAGTGCGACGGGTATTAAAAACTTATGATTACAACGAAAGAGTTCCTCGTAGAAAGCTATACGTAAACGAAGCAAATCGCAAGAAAAGATTGATCTTTGCAAAAGAATATTTTTACAAAGACACCTGGTGGTGGAATGATGTAATATTTTCGGACGAAAGCAAATTTAATCTTTACGAATCCAACAGTCAAAGAATGGTGTGGCGTAAAGTAAATACAGAATTAAACATTTCAAATTTAAAACCGACAGTGAAACACGGTGGTAGGAGTGTAATAGTGTGGGGTTATATCTCGTCTGTAGGTATAGGTGAACTAGTTTTTATCCATGGTATTATGGACAAAATGAAGTATTTGGACATTTAAAAAAAAATTTAATTACAAGTGCTATAAATATGGGTATACGTACAGTTTTAAGTTTTATCAGGACAATTATCCTAAACACAAGACCAGAATTGTACAGGAATATTTATTATACAATTGTCCAAAAGTACTGCATCCTCCTTCTGAATCGCCTGATTTAAATCCGATTAAAAATTTATGGGATCAATTGGACCACAAAATTCGTACAACACCTACAAGGACAACAACAGAGATAAAACAACGTTTGTTAGACGAATGGAAACGGATTTCACCGAAGTATTTAAATCTGTAACATGCCCAAGCGGTTGCATGAAGTAATAAAACAAAAGGATCAACCGACAAAATATCAATATTATGATAACATGATTAAAAAGATTTTCATTTTATATAAAATTAATGTTATTCATTCACTATCCGAATATTTTTGCGACGTTAAATTTTGTCACAATCTTGTTTATCGCTTATAAATAAACAAAATTTATGTTTCTACTTACTATAAGAAGTGCTTTATTATATGAGAAAACAATTGATTCAATAATAATATCATAAACAATAAAAGGGAGCAATAATTTTTCTAATAATATCGTGTCCGAATATTAATGCGAGTCACTGTACGTACTCGGTTGAAATGCTCGAAAGAGAGTCAGACTTGATCTTGCTAACGTTCCTTCGTGAGTAACTTAGTTGAAACTAAACCCGATTTGAATCGCGTTTGGATCCTTTATGTACCCGAAATTTCTCTGAAAAAAAACGGTAGTGGGGGATGTCCATATGTGCCCGGGTTTCAGGAAGTTCGTCTTCGAACCTCTTCGAAGATACTTGACTCATAATGTACAGAGCGAACTCCCTGGTCGGTGCCAGCCAGCGTATGCTCCCGGGAAGGAGTAAAAGAAAAAGATACGTTGGCAAATTCTCCGTACGTTATATATGTATAGTATATGAAGTGTCTATCAAGTAATAAGTATCGCAACTGTTGACCGTTAATCGTGAGAAAAATACTACCTCTTAAGTCTAAACGTTGAAATAGCAACCGTTGTATTCCAACAATGTTGTTAAAGTACGCCATTAAATATATTATTAATTTTTGATTAACTATGTGATTAAATATGTGTGGGCGTCAGGACCCCCCCCCCCCCCCCCCCNGGGGGCCGGGCCCCCCCCCCCCCCCCTCTCTAGAATAACGGAGATCGGGAAAGTAGGAGGATTTCGTGGCTATATGAGGAAGTCAATCGGCTTCGAAGCAAAAGGTTCCGGGTTCGATTCCCGTGTACGGTTTCTTCTTTTTCCCCAAGAACCTACATATGTATATTAACAAACTTTGCAGATCACATTAAGACAGTAGAAAACTTAAAAATTGTATGTTTATTAATGGAATCTATCAATGTAAAATGATTGGCAATATGAACTTGGTTAGCATTTTTTCAAATACAACGTTCCGAAGAGATAGCTCGGATGTCCTCGAATGAACTAACAATACTATGATACTAGCCTATGATAGCAGAGATTGTAGAAAAGTAATCAAAATGTTCTGTTTCGTTCTTAGGGACAGGGACAGCATCTATACGAGTGAAAGATATAAATGATATGCCTCCGCAATTTACAAAGGAGGAATGGTTCACCGAAGTGGACGAGACAGAAGGTCCAGATTTGCCGGAAATGCCAATTCTTACGGTCACCGTACACGATGAAGATGAAACCAATAAATTTCAATACAAGGTACATACTTTCTATAATACCTCGAAATTAAGATTTTGAAACATTTATAACATTGGTTTTGGTTCTTGAAAGAATTATGAAGAACTTTTATTCTGAATAACTGTTTTGTGGAACCAATATTTCCAAGCACATTGATTTCGGTTGCGGTTCTTTAGGACCGATATTTTATCAGTTCCAAGACAGTTACATAACGGTGTCTCAGCAAAAATGTTACAAAGCAATATCTCCGTTATCATGAATGATACTAAAAAATGCTAGAGGAACAAATTGTATGGTTCGAAGACACACATATTGTGATGAAAATAATTTATTTGTATAAGTCATATCTTTCGAGATTTCAAGGTCATCGATGTTTTTTTTAATAGAATTACATATTGGCTTGTTAGCTAATATCAAGACGAAGCCAGTGACTAAATTAATTAATTAAATAATTAAACAAATTTTTAATTTAATATCTTTTTTTATTGTTTTTTACATATTTACTTTTTTTGTCAATAAATTTTTCATTGTTGATCTTTCTGTTTTATTTTCATTATTCGTGACTATTTTTAAATGTTTTAAGATATTCCGTACTCAAGGTCAATTGAAAGTCATTGTATTACAAGACATTGGATTCGTCTTCACATCAACTACTATGATATAATGGAAGAAATATGTAATCCCATTTTAAAAAGCACTGTTGACTTTGAAATTTCGAAAAAAATTACCTTTAAAAATAAATTATTTTTGCATCACGATATGTATACCTATGAACCTATTGTTAACGGTAATGCAGATAGTGAGATCCCGTATGAGTAGTAAATATGAATTTTGGGATTTACGATGACTCCCTTTGCATCCGAAGGAAGATTATTTAGTTATGCATTAATGATGAATCTACCCAAACGCAGTAAACTTCATTATGCAACAGTTGGTGGAATAAAGTTAACATATAGACGAAATTATTTGATAAAGAAAGGAAAAACAGTGGAGAAACACTATATTCTATAATTTTTTATCCGCGTAAATCCCTGTACAAAAGGATTCTGATATAAATAACAAATAACTTTTTATTCAAATAAATTTTTAGTCGAATAAAATCTTATTCGGAATAAATTTTTATCTAAATACATTTTCATTGGATCAGATATGCAGGGTGTCCAAAAAGGTTGGAACCAAACTTAGACTGCGTGTTACTGAGGTCAAATAGATGAAAAAAGTTCATATAAACTTATGCCCGAAAATGCTTTATTGAAAAGATTAAGCTTTTAAAGATATTTATAATTTATTGTGATAGTTATAAGAAATGTTCGAAAATTCCTCCTTCTGCAAGAATACAGGCTTCCATTCGTCGAATTAGTGATTCTCAAACTTTTTCAAATATTCCATTTGTATTGGAAATAATAGTAAATGCATTTTGAATACATTCCCAAAGTTGATCTTCTGTTTCTGTCTTATTTTTATAAACCAACTCTTTTGCATAACCCCAAAGATAGAAGTCGAGAGGCGTTAGGTCAAGTGACCTAGCTTATATCTTTTCAATAAAGCATTTTCGGACATAAGTTTATATGAACTTTTTTCATCTATTTAACCTCAGTAACACGTAGTTTAGTTTCTGTCTCTTATACACATCTGACCTAGCTTATATCTTTTCAATAAAGCATTTTCGGACATAAGTTTATATGAACTTTTTTCATCTATTTAACCTCAGTAACACGTAGTTTAGTTTCTGTCTCTTATACACATCTGACCTAGCTTATATCTTTTCAATAAAGCATTTTCGGACATAAGTTTATATGAACTTTTTTCATCTATTTAACCTCAGTAACACGTAGTTTAGTTTCTGTCTCTTATACACATCTGACCTAGCTTATATCTTTTCAATAAAGCATTTTCGGACATAAGTTTATATGAACTTTTTTCATCTATTTAACCTCAGTAACACGTAGTTTAGTTTCTGTCTCTTATACACATCTGACCTAGCTTATATCTTTTCAATAAAGCATTTTCGGACATAAGTTTATATGAACTTTTTTCATCTATTTAACCTCAGTAACACGTAGTTTAGTTTTGGTCATCAACCTTTTTGGACACCCTGTATATACGATAATATCGAATAAAATTTTATTCGATAATCCTTATCTCTTATCTACCATTCAAATAAAATTTTGTCTTATCTGATTGATAGATGTAGAACCGCAAAATGACAGATACAAAATCGACATAGAATCGAAACAATACTGGTTCGAAAGAAACGGAACTGAAACCAATATATGTACCCGGTGATATCAATTCTAGATAGCAGTTATTCAGGATAAAGGTTTATCCATAACACTTTCTGCCAGAGCAGAAATACAACAGCTTCTGCCAGTTATTCTTCGAACTTTTTGAACTTCTGTCCAAAATACTGTAGTTTCGATCAGTTCAATTTGATGAGAAAAAATGTTTTTCTTTAAACTTGAATGTGGAAACTTAATATACGATTCGCTTTATTATTTCTTGTTTATGTTGGATGATAACAATTGTTATTGTTTGTAACTTGTAACAGGTAATAGAGAGCAGTGCTTATGGTGCTGACAAGTTCACTATGGTAAGAAACAATGACGGTACGGGATCTCTGAAGATTGTGCAATCGTTGGATTACGAAGATCAATTACAAAGCAACGGTTTTAGATTTAGGATACAGGTCAATGATAAGGTAATTAATACTTAAGATAATTAATAGCGAATGATTCTTAGAACAAACTTAAAAACAAATTTCTATTATTCTCGATGTTTTTTTTGCAGGGTGAAGATAACGACAACGATAAATATCACGTCGCCTATTCATGGGTGACAGTGAAATTACGCGATATAAACGATAATCAACCACAATTTGAAAAAGCCAATATCGAGACTACCGTTCTAGAAAACACATCCATCGGAAACACGCTTGAAACGTTCAAAGCTACTGATCCTGATCAGGGTGGGAAGAGTAAAGTGTATTATTCGATCGACAGATTTTCTGATCGTAAACGGCAATTCTCGATCAATGAAACCGGCACGGTCTCAATCCAAAGGAGTTTAGATCGTGAAGAAACTCCACGACATCAAGTAAGCTATCGAACAATATGTTTTACAATTTTCCTTTACTATTTAATTTACTACCCTCTTAGATTCGCAATATAATGGTGCATTTAAACTCTAAACTTACAGCTGAACTGCATAAGCGAATGCTTGCCCGAATACTACAATCCAATAAATTTTAAGCATTCAATTAATTCGATGTTGTTGAAATTACAGATTTCGTTAACTCTCTGCACAACTCATCGCGACATTTCATTTACGATAACACAGCATAATAACACAACACAAACAGTCGCGCTGTCCGTTTCAATCTAGTACTGAATCGCAGTCAGTCTGCTCAGTCAATTCTAATCGACTCGAGCTCATGCTAGTCTTCTAGTCAACCGTCCATCGTAGTCTTTCAACCTTAGACCATCGAGTTGAGTCTAGTTTATAGTGCTCCAAATTCAATCCTTGAAGTTAAGACTAACCAAACTTTTCTATACTGCTTCAGTCAGTCGATGAGTCTGCATCAGTCTGCATCAGTCCGCTTCAATCTAACTCTGAATCGCAAATCTCTGACTGCTTCAGTCAACGCTAGTCTTCTAGTCAACCGTCTATCGTAGTTTTTCAATCTTAGACCATCAAATTGAGTCTAGTTTATAGTGCTCCAAATTCAATCTTCAAGTTTAAGACTCGCCAAAACAGCTGTTTCTCTTTAATTAGATCTCAATATCTCTCTCAAGATCTCTCTTATCAATTCCGTCGATTAGCGTAATCGGCCTTACAACCCGAGAGATTTTTAGAATCCCGGAATTTTGATATCGGGTTGACACGTGAAACACCCTACAACCAGTGAGAATGATCGATGGGGTGTTCTTCATCGTCTCGTATCTGGATGAACGATAGGATAATAAAAACAACGATAACCAATCATCCCAGTCCCGTTAACGATCCGCTACAAACATCTACAGATACTGAACAGGATGAAACTGATTTCTTCATCTTCCTTCTGCTTTCTTCTCCATTCTTCAAAATCCAATGTTTCGCAGAGTGTCCGCAAGATCACATTACCAGTCTTCCCTTCCAGACGCATACAATTTTTGCGATTTGCAAGATCTGCGAGAAAGACCATCCGCGTTATGATGGAGTCTTCCTTCCCGATGTTTCACCTCAAAATCATATCTCTGGAACCGCTCGATCCATCGCGCTACCTGCGCTTCCGGATTCTTAAAGATCAGCAACCAGCGTAAAACAGTGTGGTTGGTTCTCAGAAGGAAGCTACGCCCATAAAGATAATAGTGAAAATGTTCGCCAATAATTCCTTCCGAGTAAAGCAATATTCCTCTCAGTCTTTCCTAGCATCTTGAAGGAATAGATAATTACTCTCTCCCGGCCTTCTTGAATCTGAGAAAGAACTGTTCCAAAATAAATTCCACATCAACCGATGCAGAGAAAAGAACGGGAGACACCATCAACTTTCTTTTTAACAACTCGAATGGACGCTTTGTTTCTTCCGTCCACACGAAGCACTCCTTGTTCTCGGTTAAACGATGTAAGGGTCTCGCAATATCGGAGAAATTCGTCGCTGAAAGAACATGTACTTACATAGTACATAGTTCGTTATCTTTACAAGCTCAAAGTTTTTCTAGCTGGGGGCTATATTTGTTTTAAATCTGCGTTCTCTATCATTATCCTCATCAATCAAATTTTTTGCCACAATATGATTATGATAAAATTTTTTAATGTATCAACTGAAAATGGTGTTTCCCTTCCGTGTCACATTTTTCTATAATATTACTTTTCTCGAAGTTTATTAAACAATAATATAGCAATGTAATATAGCAGAGTCTCATAATAACAGTTGTTTGACCTTGTGAAAGGAATCAGTAATTAGGATTGTAACTTATTCAAGTTGAAGTTGTAGGTTAAAGGCGGGTGTGAATAAATAATAAGTGTCTAACAGTGCGTGATCTGTAAGGTTCGACTGTTCAACGTTTTCTTCTCGAATCGACTGGCAAGGGATGCACGGTTGTCCTAGTCGATGAATTTCCGAATTGTTAAAAGGAAGGAGAGGGAAATTTCTTACCCTTGAAACCGAAGGGAAAATTATCTTTCATAAAATAACTTTGGAAAAAATCGTCGTCTGAGGGCTTTTAAACGACAAGGCCGAGGATCTGAACTTCGTCACTTTTACGTCTGGTCCTTGAGACCCGGCCGCGTACGGCACACACATGCAAAGGTTAGAATTTCCGCGACCAAAAATTCCTTTCCTCCACGATGCGAGTCCGCTACAAAGCTGTAATGGCTTAAAAAGGTTTCATGATTAAAATGTTTCAATTTTTGGTTGCAAATAACAATTACAGTTAATCGAAAATTTTGTTCAGCGTCTATAACCATTATTAGCGATAGAAATTCCATTTCAGTCACTTATAATAATTTTGATAGGAGGAATTTATTCCAGTTATTTGCAACAATTCTGTATTAATTAATTAATTAATTCTGTCAAGGAAATTCTGTATTAATTATTCATAATAATTATCAGTGACGAAAACTTCGTCACCAATAACGGCGACGGTCACCAATAACTCCATGGACGAGAATAATTCATGTTAAATGATCATAGAAGTGATGAAGTAAAAATAATTGTATATAATTATGCACACCAAGGCAGTGATCTTATTGCCCAAAGAAACGAGACCGTAAGAAAAAACACACAATGATACGCGCGCGCGATAACATGTAAATGCAAACGCTGCTGTGTAATAGTTCACATTATTAGTTAGTGTTGAGGATTTGAAATACCTTTAATAATACATGATCGAAATACAATTTCTCTTATCTATAACTGTTAAAGCGATTGAAATAGAATTTCCCTCTCTGATAACTGCTGTTATAAAAATGTCTCGCAATACGGAAATAAGAGATAGCTGAGGCCTTCCTGAGTAACTTCTTTCTTAGCGAAAATGCAATCTGCAGTTTTCTTTACGAGTTATTGACGAAAAACACTGACCAATGATAGACAAGCGCGCGAACTCGGACGTGGTTGATTCGAGCGCAACGAGCTCCGACCGCAAAGCATGACAGAAGAAGGGGGACTCCGTGCCGCGGTCGAATCAATGAATAAGTCACAGAGCGTGAACTTTCCGAATGATTTTTTACTACGTGACAGTGATAATTTAAAGAAAAACACTGTTCATCCTTATTTCAGGATGTCTAAAGAATAGTTACTAATTTTTTGGATCCGAAATAATAAGTAGTTTAACCGTGACAGTCGTTTTAATTTTCTGATGTGCATGATACTTCATGTGTACTATATGAAATTTGTATGCGATATTACAGTGAAGGTTAACAATAAGTAACCTCGTCGAAGTAAGTAAATGATATTTTAATTTAAATAATTCCGTGTCCGAACAGAATTCAATGAATAATTCGCAAAGCTATTTTATTGATAAATAACTCCGTCAAACAACGTAAAGGATTCGTTTGTTTAAGAAATGTGAAAAATATTATTAATAAAAAACTCACCCATTTAGTTATAAATCTACTTCATGCTCGGAAATATGTGCAGGAGAATAGTGTACCGACCTCGTCAATGTGATGAACAGAGGGATATCTCCGGGCAGCTTATTCTAACGTTCATTTTCACTGCACGATCACTAAACACTGATCACTTATTCAATAATAATTAGGATCAAACTTTCCTGGATTATTATTCCAAGGATGCTGTAAAGTGTTCATGAGAACATTAGAGAATGCGTCTAAGACAGGGCCCGCTAGAAAGCCTTGCGTTGTGACTGTTATAACCAACCGAAATCATTTTTCTTGTGGACAACAGTTATTAGCAATAGGAGTAGTGTTTCTGTTAACGAATTAAACGATTAAAAACATTCGAGAGAAAATAGTAATTGTTATGCAATGATTTTGTTCATACTGGTCGTAATAGTTATGGTCCCTGCAATTTAGGTAGATAATTCTGACACTGGGGCTAATCGAGGGTTTAATGTAATAGTTAACAAAGATTACTACGTAACGTGTGCACGCATATGTATATCACGGCTCCCTTAGACACAAAGGGATTCATCCGATTTCCGATACAATCTGCGTGAGCGATTTTCTAAAATGAGCTCTCTTATAGAAAATTACTATAAAATCTGATTACAATGATCATTTAACAAATGAGTGTCCCTGAAATAAGAATTCGTGTCGATTGAATTCAGACGCATTTTTCTCATCTACACGTATGCAGCATCGTGTGAAAAATAAAAAAAGCGCATGGTGCGATAGATGTCAAAATTTTTCGTTAGAAATAAGTAATAAATAGCTCTTACTACGGTTTTGCAACAGTATATTTTTATGTTATTTGTTACCCTTTAAAATTCTTTTAATAGTTTTTATAAAATTCTTTTATAATAGTTTCATTTTCTTATTACAGTAGTATTAAGCTGATAATGAGTAGCAGAAAGTACAACATCGGCTGTATGTAACTTTTGTTAATATATGGCTCGACTTATTTTGTCAAATATTTTCACTTCTATTTATTTTGATATTATGTTACACGTAGAAACTTTCATTACTGATACTTAGCAATATATACTTAATTTTCTGCACGATTGCCCTATTAAATTGTTACTTTCGCATCACATATATGCTACTATAAAAAAGGCAAGAAAGAGGAAAGAAAAGAATGATTTGCGGAATCTACAAAATCGAAATAAAATGTAGAACTTCATAATTACAATGGATACTGGTTCCAAGACAGCAAAAATGATTACAGGTGAAAATCTTAGCTATCGATGACGGTATCCCGCCGAAAACCGCGACGGCTACGTTAACCGTGATCGTTCAAGATATCAATGACAATCCTCCAAGATTTTTAAAAGATTACCGACCAGTGCTGCAGGAGCATTTGCAACCGAAAAAGGTTGTGGAAATTTCGGCAACCGACGACGACGACCGATCAAGGGGCAACGGACCGCCATTTACTTTCCGTATGGATCCGAAGGCGGACGACGTGATACGAGCCAGTTTCAAAGTTGAAAGTGACACCAGTAAGTTCTGGAATAATTCCGTTATTTTCGCAAAATGAGTTACTTAATCTTACCATAGTACTCTTATTGCTAGTTTGTTAATTCCTTTAACAAACATCGCATTTTTTTGTCTATAGATGGAGCGAACGGAGACGGTATGGCTATTGTATCTTCGTTGCGAACATTCGATAGAGAACAGCAAAAGGAATACTTGATACCGATCGTTATAAAGGATGTTGGGACTCTTCCAATGTCTGGGACCAGCACCTTAACAGTTATTATTGGAGACACTAACGATAATAAAATGCAGCCTGCCTCGAAAGACATTTTTGTATATAATTACGCAGTACGTACTTTGAAAGCTTCTTAAACACTCTGTGAAATCTTCATTTTATATGTAATTTTAATTGACATATTTATCGGATTAGAAACATATGTATTGTTCTTTTGTACTTAAAGGTAGCTAAAATAATTTCGTACTAATTTAATTGCACATGGTTATGTTTTTTCGATTTAATTGCATATTGACATTAAGTAGTAGTTTTCCAGTAGCACATAGTTCAATTCATAGAATTAATTAACGCATACGAGTTTGATAGACTACATCTGTCGTTCTTCTTTGGTACTAAAAAAATTCCACTTGCAAAGTACTAGTAATGTAAAGCGCACAAAATGCATATGTATAATAAAATGTGCAAACAAAAAGGTTCTTCGATTATGCAATGTTCGGCCAATCGATGTTCCATTGTGCACGTATTAATTAACTATCTCCTCCGTTAGTGTTTAGAGTAATCAATGAATTAAAACTCTGATTAGATCGTTCCATCTCCTTTGGTAAATAAATTATAGAAGTAAATGTATGAAATACATATAATAAATTGTTCAACGAAATGCTGAAATATACTATTAGTATACTGATTAGATGGAGATCGTGTTTTAAATGATAAAAGTGAACTGAAACTGAAAAAGTATAGATTTATACATCATACGAGAATAGGATGGAAAATATTCGATAAACTACCAAAGAACAGAAATACCATATTTTGAATCATTGTGGTTATTTATCCTTTCAATTTTTGCAACATTTTCATCAAGAAACTGTGTTTATACGTTAAGTCAGGCATACCAATAAATAATAAGCAATTATAAATAAATTTATTGTACCAGGGACAATCGCCAGACACGGAAATAGGGAGGGTCTATGTCTATGATTTGGACGATTGGGATTTACCGGACAAAAAGTTCTACTGGGAAAGTCTGGAACATGATCAATTTAAATTGGATGAGGATACTGGAATGATTTATATGAAGTCTGGCACGGCCGATGGTAGATACCATTTAAGGTTCAAAGTTTATGATAGGAAGCATACGCAAACCGATATTTTTGCAAATGTAACTGTCACCGTTAAAACTATTCCTCACGAAGCAGTATTAAATTCTGGATCTGTTCGAATATCTGGCATAACCGACGAAGACTTCATTCGCGTTTGGGATTATAAGGTAAATGATTCCTCTGTTAAATCCCCTATTCAATGTTGATGCTAGCAATAGCTGTATTTATAATTAATACTACTACTAATAATGAAAGCAAGAATTTCATGCAGAGAATAAATGCTTCTATGATTCCGATTTTTATTAGATAGTATATGTTAGAAATGGAATCTCATAAAACAATTGTAGTTTATTCGGTAACGTTACTCTACAGATTTTAGGTTGTAATGCAAAAAAATGTATTTGTTATCAACTGGAAGCATTCATTGAAATAAAAAAAAAACAGTTGATGTTTCCCTAAAAATCTATTCAGAAATCTAATTAGAACTTGTTGAAAGATTTGAAATCCGATTTTTTCTATTACAATTTTCGTCTGGCGAGGACTGATTCTTAATATTGTTTTTCAGTATCAAACGTTATCACGAAGCAAAGCAGAATTATTCCGGGAAAAATTGGCGCATTTATTAAATATAGACGATAAAAACAATGTCGATGTGTTTAGTGTTCAATTACGCAGAATGCATCCACCGTTAACCGACGTTAGATTTGCAGCCCATGGGTCACCGTATTATAAACCTGTCAGACTGAATGGAATCGTGTTGATGCACCGTGAGGAGGTAATTTGTTAATTTTCATTATGATCCTTAATTTTTAGTTAAGTGCAGGGAGATTTATGAAATACCTTGTACTGAATGGTATATGCTCAGACTGTTTGCTAAAGTTTTGTTTCCATCGAAGAAAATTTCCTTTGAAACTTGTTATTACCTTTTACACGAACTCACTTTAGCTGTGACAATGCACAGTGTATCCCAGCTAAATGTACAGAATCCGATTACATATTTCGAAATGGTTGAAGACACAAAAACGGTTTCAATGCGTTTAAAGGTTTTAACAAGTGTATGCTGAATTTTTTATCATTTTCAAGATGAGAATATCGTTAAGTGCTCCTGATTGGAAGTAGTTGACATGAAACGCCAATATTATCGATTTTTCCGTTTTTAGCGATACTTGTTTCATTTGTTTGTATGCACGGTATCTCGAAAGCTGCTCAAGAACAAGGGTGTAATACAAAAATAGTACAAGTATACGTAGAATGTACGCTATACACATAATTTCAGTAAAATCACATTGCATATTGTAAAGAAGAGATTTCAGTCTTCAAACTCGCGGTAGCTTCAGTACCGAGAAAGCTTTTCTTAACTTCTCAGACACGTTTAAATCTATAGTAGAAACATGGATAGACTTGTCAATGAGCTACTTCCTCTTCCTCGCCGACTTTGATAATGTTGAAAACTGTTATAAATCATGATGTTTTGAACAATCATGATCCTTTGAAAAAATTGGCGGTTTCACAGATATTTGCAAAAATATATTGCCACTACTAGGTTAAATTTCGCTTATACGTGCATGTCGCGACAGCATGCACCCGTTAGCAAGCGGCCACCGCTCGTCCACATTTTCTGTATAGAATACGTCACAGTGATCAACACTTATACTTATGGTCAGGTCCTCTCCACTCCATCACTTTCCTAACCACAAACCAACCCTAAATCGGTGAGATCGTAGCTTTTCAACAGGTCTACCAAAAATATAATTTTTTGCAAATATCTCAGAAACTAAGGTCAACTGCCAGAAACTGTAAAGGCAAATGTTCACATAATTCAAGATCATTAATATCGGCGAGGAAGTACCGGAACATAATCCTATAAGATGAAGTCAAAGAGATTATCGTCCATCTTTTTTCATGAAAGCATTACAAGTTAATCATCGACAAATCAGAGATCCCTTCCTTTTACTTCAATTTTTAAAAGGTACTGATATTTGTAGATTTTAATTCGCTTACAACGAATTAAACTTCCTCCCTTTAACGTAGGCGTAAGACATCATGTGATACAACATAAATATGAATATGTTTGCTGCATAATGCAACGAAAAGTTAATCAAGATACTAATTAGTAATTAGTAATTACAAATAATCATGTGTTCATCAGAAGAATCTAAAATTAATGCTTTAGAGATAAGTCAACGCACTTGCCTCTTGTAATCTTGCGTCTGTTTCACTTTACCGCGATTGTTCTACGCCTCCTGACTTCCATCGTGCGCCTTGCTAATAATACTCACGCACATCCACATCTTTATGGGCACAAGGGCACACGCTTCTAGCAGAAAATGACGACCACGGGGAAGCGATACAGTGACGGGAGTCAGGAGGAGTTGTTTTTAATCGGCCGAACTCGAGCCTCTTGTTTCTTGGAAATTCAGTGTTGCGGTTAACTTAAGGCTGATAGGAAGGGATCATTTCTGTCAATAAGGGAAACGCGTTTATCCTACTTAGGCAAGGGCGTTAGAATGGGAGGGTTGCTGGGGATCCGCCCTATACTTCTCTCAGCGAACTTCTTCTGAGCAACAGATAGTACTTAAAGTCGGGAGATGAGAGGTTTCTGAGGTCATTTGAAGTAACTTTTTCCTTAGCGCAAATGCAATCTGCGGCGAGTTATTAACGAAAGACAGTAACCAATGAGAAGCGAAAAGAGCGGAAAGAGGGTGCTACGATCAGGCTTCGTGCTGCGTTCGAAGCAAAAACAAGTAACAGAGTGTGAACTTGTTTAATCTTTTTACTACGTGTCAGTGATAATTTTAAGAAAAAAGTGTTAGCCCTTATTGTAGAATGTCTGAAGAATATTTGGTTATTTTTCGGATTCGAAATAATGAGTAATTTAACTGTGACAGTCATCTTAATTTTCTGGTGTGTGTCACCAAATACACACCAATAGATATAAGAAATTTTTATGCGGTAGTTACAGTGAAGATTGACAATAAATAACCCCAACAAAGTACACGAAAGACATTTTTGTTTAAATAATTTCATATTAAAAAAGAATTTAGCAAGCAATTTACAAAACTATTTTATTGATAAAAAAAACCGTTAAAGGGCGTGAAAGATTTGTTTGTTTAAGAAATGTGAAATAAGAAACTCACGGCTGTTCAAACATTCTACAATAAGGGTTAACGCTTTTCCCTTAAAATTATCACTGACAAGTAGTTAAATAACTTGGAAAATTCACGCTCCATTACTTGTTCTTCTTCAGCTGATCTCGCCTTTCATTTGTGCTAAGAAAATAGTTACTTCAAATGATCTCACTTTCCGGATTTAAGTACCTTTTAGGACACCCTGTATAGACAGCATTTCATCTCTACCTTTATAGTTTAATATTTAATTTCGAATAATACAATCGGATTTTATATACTTAGGAAGGAACACAATAATACTATTGTATTAACCAAATTGTGTATGATGTTAAAGTTAAATAAAATAATGGACAAAATTATTACTCTTTGGAATTGTATGAAATACTCTCGTATTAAACTTTGAAATAAACTTTGTGCTTGAACACGCAGCTTTTGAAGCTGTTTCAGGAGATTTTGATACAGAGATAAAAAAAATATTTTTTTACAAAAAAACATAGTACAATATGTTGGCATATGTCACAAGAAATGAAATGAATGAGTCCAGTACTATAAACTAATCTTTAAATTGTTTAGATCGAGAAAGAAGTGGGAATTAATATAACAATGGTGGGCATCGATGAGTGTTACTACGAGAACGAGATGTGTGAAGGTAGTTGTACAAATACCTTGGACATCAGCAGTTTGCCATATATGGTCAACGCAAACAAAACAGCCCTTGTCAGTGTCAGGGTAGATGTAATTGCTGAGTGTACATGTGGAGCACGCAATTTCAGCAAAGGAGAATCTTGTCGTAGCAGTCCGTGTTACAATGGTGGTCGTTGTGTAGAAGGACGATTTGGATTATCGTAAGCATCATTTTCTAAACCAAAAAATCATATTCTAAACTTTACAACAGTTATGAATCAGTCTTTATAGCAAACTCTCCCACAAATGCACATGCTAACGATTATTTACATGTTTACAATAATTTCTCTCACATTGTCCTTCAGCTTGGAAACGAAAATGGACAACTCGGGAAGCAGAGGTACGATTATAGGCGTCGATTGTCAATAACTATAAAAACGAGCTGCAAGACTCGAATAGTCGTATCTCCTCTTCCCCAGTTGTCCACTTTTGTATCCAAGCTGAGGGACAATGTGAGAGAAATTACAGTATAATAACAACAAAAAATTTGTCTTTTAACCATGAGAATAGTTTATCAACAGATTTCACAATGTATACAATTCATGTCCAAGAATCACACAATTAGGAAGTATTTACGTTCATTAGAAAAAAAAAGTAGAATTCATGAACTAATATCAATTGAAAAACATTTTTACACATATGTATACAGAAATATATGCTTAGTACAAAAATCCGATAAAAAGATAACGAAATTGATTTAAAGCTTCAACTTAGGGTATTAATGAAATTCTGTTAAAGTGTTCTCAGAACCATTAACCGCTGACACAACATGTGTGTAGTGCTACCGCCGAAGGTTGTTGGAAAAACAAAAAAATGAACAAAGAAACTTTCTTTCTATTTAATAAATCGTATACATATATTAACATTTGAATACCGACCACATTCGGAAATTAAATTACCACGATTTTTTACTTAAATTACCAAGTGCGTGGATTAAAACTAATGATGGTGATCCTACTACATCTCGCGTCGTTCGCCCCGATCCAGTTGAAAGATTAGCCGAAGAAATAAAAATGTCGTGTTTGCTATGCGAATATAATTATAAAGCCTACATATTTTATATCTAAAACTTGCCAAGTACCGTTACATGTAGGTGTTTGCTTTGGCGATGTTTAACTGCATAGACGTGCGACTATATTATTCTACACGATAAGTTTGATTTTCCTAATACAGCACGATGCCTCTATCATATGAACCAAAAATTTGCATTTATACGCAGTCATAAAATGAAACAGTTTAACATTGCTGTTGTTTTAGAATAAGATTAAATGCATATTACTTTCTATTACATTAAAAGAAACCACCTATTTAGTTCCACCTTTTTGCGCTCATGTTCTCCAATAACACGTAACACATCTTTCCAGTTATAAGGGGTTTTATGCGTCGTATGTCATGTATGACGGGTAGAGAAATCTTTTAACTATCTAACAATAATTCAATGTAGCAGAATCTCAATAACTTGGTATTAACAGACATTGAGTGCAAACAGATACATACATATGCATGTGTCTTGATCTAAACTCTTTAAACAAATGCTTTAATATTTCTAATCATGTCTACAAGACTATTTAAAAAGAGTTTAAAGTTACACGTATATGTATATGAATCAAAGAATGCCTCCAGCAATGTTTATTATCATGTATTTCTCGAGAGAAGGAATGAAGGTGGACAATTACGATGACAGATACTGATATATGTATATATCTTTAAATTCCTTTCTTTGAAAAGCAGAGTGTGTTGTATAGAGTATGTTTTAAAGCAGGTCTCGGAATTAACGGTACGCAATGTAATAGCATTTAGGTGATTATGGAGGAGCGAGGTGCGCGACGGGAGTTAGGTGGCGTAGCCCTCGCGATCCTATGTTGCATGCCGATAATTCCGAGTCCTGCTTTAAGGTATCCTTAACATCATAGGTTAGAAATTAATTAATGTTTCTATCGTGTAGATGTCAATGTCCCGCTGGATACAATGGTCCAAGGTGTCAACAAACTGCGAGAAGTTTTCGTGGAAACGGTTGGGCTTGGTACCCTGCTTTGGAAATGTGTGACAATAGCCATTTGAGTTTCGAATTCATTACGAAAAAACCTGATGGCCTACTTTTGTACAATGGGCCTATTGTTCCTCCTGAAACTGATGAAATTATGGTTTCTGGTAAGTTATTATGTATTGTCATTTTATTTTATTTGTAATTATTTTCATATTACTTTGGAACAGGGTTGAGCATTATTCGAGTAACATTTATCTAGATAATTATTCGAATAATCATATTCGCGAATAATTTACTATAACCTTATTTGTGAATAAGTTATTCGCTAATAATTTATTCACGAATGATTTATTTACGAATAGTTCATTCACAAATGATTAATTCGTGAATAAAATGTTATTCGTTTTCTCGACTAGAAATTACTTATTTTTAAGCTATTATAGGGATATTCCACGCGAAATCGAACACCTTTTGGAATACTGTTTTAGATTTTGGTCAAATTTGAATATGTCGTAATATTTAGCGATATATAAACAAATCTCGGAGGATTTTCAAAAATTTTGAGAATTATTAATTTTACAGGCCTGCACTATTTATTTTGCAATCATTTTAAATAAATGCGGTGTTTTCGTGGTACGGAACTATTTAGAAAATTTGAAAGCAATGAAGAATATAACCTCACGTGTCCCCTTTGCGGTCGATTTTTAAAAAATTTGGACATTTTAAAATTGACGAAATTAAAATTATTTGAAGTAAACGCTGCACCGGCGGCGTATGACGCTGGCGTGCTGCTGCGGTTCGGGCAGCGACATTACGGTGATGCGTTTACTTTGAATAATTTTAATTCTGTCAATTTTAAAGCGCCCATATTTTGGAAAAATCGTTCTTAATCCTCCAATATCCTGCATTGTTTTCAAATTATCTTTAGATAATTATAAATTATTTATTTTAGATAATTATAAATTATTTATTTTAGATAATTATAAATTATAAATTATTTATAATTCCGTGCTATGAAAATATATTGATACTATTTTGCAGACCAATAAAATTAACAATCTCCAAAATTTTGAAAGATCCTTCGAGATTTGTTAATATATTTCTAAAGACTATGACGCATTCAAATTTGATCAACATCTAAAACAATACTCCAAAAAGTGTTTATTTCACGTGAAATGATCCAATTACTGTAATTTCTCCCGGACTCGTGCTACTTCAGTATTCTCAGGTTCGCGCTGTGATATTTGCTACGGCAAACAACTCAAATTCCCAGAAAACAACTCATAATACAACGACATAACTTTTTTTCATTCTAACATTTTAAAACCGATTTTTTAAACGTATTGCTGATAGTCTTCTGATTAAAATGAGACCAAACATGATATAGTTTGGTATATAATTTAAATTACATTTATTTACTTAATACTTAATGTGTAATTCATTTGATTCTATTATCGCTGTGATTCCATAAGTAAAATACATTGTTATTCATATTAATAATAACTAAACATTAAAAAGCTGCATTGACATTGTGCATAATTATATTCTACATTAAATTGTCTTTTTGCGTATCATCCTTGGAATTGTCTAGTATTGTGGCCTTACGGGCGAGCGTCGCGTCGGCGGACCGCGGATGGCCATGTGCAACTCTTTACCTGTTTTCTATAGGCTATTATCTCATATTTTTATGAAATTTTGTTGTATATAGCCATCGAGGTAAATTGACTTTTACTTTGGTCATTGTTTTATTGCTTTATGAATTTACCGTATTCGGTCAAAAGTAACGAGTCTTGTCCGCACAGGAAAACGTGACTTTGGTTCCAGTCCTTCTGCAATCCATCCATCCAGTTTCGAAGATCTCGTATCTAAACTGTGTCGTTCTTCCTTGACGTTCGACCACCCTTACTCTAAAGCCTCTTAAAATTTCAGAATTGGTGGAAAAAGTACAGTTCCTTCACAATCTCTGTAAAACACGTAGGATTATTCCACCGGATCTCTGAGGAATCATGGCATGGAATTGTAGTCGAATCGTTGCAAACTCCCCGAAATCGCAGTCGAATCTTTGCAAGCTCCCCGGAATCGCAATCTCAAATTGTCGCAAGCTACCCGGAATTACAGTCGAATCGAGGCCCGAATAGCATAAATCCACTGATATTTTCTTTTAAACGACGTACATATCTTGATGAATAAGTATGGTCTAAAGCATGTCGTGTTTGGTATCATTTTAATTGGAAAAATGTGACCAATATATTAAAAATATTTTAAGTCATCGTTTTTATTCTAGCATTACAATGTATTCATAGTAATGTACAACGTCGTGTTGGCTACTGCATTTCCAGTTTCCTCGTACATAGTTTTGTTCGACTCGAGTTTCGTTCTATCTCTCACTTTCTGTCACGAGATATCGGCAACTATAAAAACGAGCTGCGAGGTTCGAAGAATCATTGTCTTACGATTCTCACGTCCTCATGTTTCGTCCTCAAGCATCTATGGGAGAAATTATTATATTCGTTGATTGCAACGACACATAAAAAACTATTGTCGTTCCATTGAATAATATTTCAAAAGATATTAGATATTTATTCTTTCCTCTACTATTATTTGCTATTCTAATGCTATAAATTATAACCTATTTTCCCTCCTAAAATGCGATAACTTTCTTTTCAAACATTTTTTGTAACGTTACAAATATGAGACTAATTAAGGGTTACAGAATTAGGTGGGACATCTTCTATAATATCGGTGTGGGTAATATTGTTGGTTTGGAGTCGAGCATACCTTTGTTAAAATGCTGTGCGAAATAAGTGTGGGAATAAAATATGGTGATTGCGTACATAATGTTTATTTTAAGCCTTAATATGTACAATTTACTAATGACTAACAACAAATCTCTCGTCTAATACCTAATATTTCGACCAACTTATCTCTTGACTGACAACTTTTCGTGTATGTTACGCCACTAACCTGCGCTAATTTTATAGTAAGCTATCTCTTTGTCTGCGCGGATTGTGATCGCACGTCATTTAGCTAGAAACGATATGAACGTGTCGTTCTATAAGACTTCAAAATAATAGAAACAAGATACATATGTATATAGTAATATGTGGAGAGAAATAAAAGCTGTTACAGTCTTCAGCATTTTGTTGTACTGCTATAAATGCAATATGCATACAGCTTTTGAAATAAAAATATACTTCTCCTACTGCTAATTATGAATATTTTTTAATTGACAGATTTTATATCCGTCGAGTTGGAGCGTGGAATACCCCGACTGTTAATAGACTTTGGATCTGGTACCCTGGAATTGAAAGTGAAACCAAAACGTACGTTGGACGATGGGGAATGGCATAGACTTGACATCTTTTGGAATACAGAGGTCAGATCTATCTTTCGTTTGTTCTACTATTACATCATGTAATACTGAATGCTGTAATTTGAATCATTACAAATGCAATGCAAATGCATTGCAAATGATATTATATGGATGACAATGCCCAAAAATATTTTAAGACTTAATTCTAGAAGTCCATATAATAAAATAAATAGCAGTTTTTCTCTCGGTTTGTTACGAATTGACAGTCAACCTCATCAGAAAATTTCAGTCCACCTACTTCCACATTGAATTCAGTATATTTGAGAAAAATTTATCTACCCATATTCATAGCAAATCTAAGACAAAGTTGTTCCTGCAAGTGGCATGTTCGCCTAGTTTTTGTCAGCTTTTCTCTCACAATTTTTTCCTCAGTCATTCTAATTACATATTGTCTGTGGAATTCGTTGACAAAATTTAGTATGCAAATTCATACACCAGTGGTGTATACACCAATTTCTTGCATGGCAGTTTTACAGATTTTACTAGAAACTACATATTATAGTTCTCATAAGTGAATATCTTGAACAGTTTAGACGTTTCTTTTCTTTTAATGAAATAATTAATACTTATAAATTCGTTCAACTTCTAATTTCTACAGTACAACTATATTGAAAACTATAAAAAATGAAGCAATAACGAAAAAACTTATGTTCGTTTCTGGAAAGGGAGTAAATAATAAATACGACACTATTTATTTGAATAATTGGTAGATAAGACTTTATCTTGACATGCTTTAGAAATTCTGTGCAAATTATTTTGCTAAAAAATGTATTAATTTTGCAGACCGTGAAGTTGATCATTGATTACTGCAAATCTGCTGACATCTCAGAACCAGAAGATGGTACACCACCAGAATTCAATGACACTAGTTGCCAAGCGCAGGGTACCATACCACCATTTAATGAGTACCTAAACGTGAACGCACCTCTTCAAATCGGCGGTTTATATGTCGAACAGTTCGATCCAAGCCATTACAAATGGAAACACATGCCAGTTGGGAAAGGTTTCGAAGGCTGCATCAAGCATCTGTTCCATAATAGCAAGCTTTATGACTTAGCTCATCCTGGTCTTTCAAGAAACAGTGTAGCTGGTTGCCCTCAAACCGAAGAAATCTGCAACAACCAAGAATCCACTTTCCGCTGCTGGGAACATGGCACCTGCGTGGGCAACTTCACAGAGGCAAGATGCCAATGTAACCCAGGATGGACTGGTCCAGGATGCATGACACCCACTATTCCAACAACGTTCAAACCACATAGCTACGTCAAATATGCCCTGTCCTTCGAACCAGACAAATACTCTACTCAAGTGCAATTAAGATTCCGTACCAGAGAGGTTCGTGGTGAACTATTTAGAGTCAGTGATCAACACAACAGAGAATACGCTATTTTGGAGGTTAGTATCTACTGAACCATTTCTATCTCTCGAATTAATCCTGATCCATTTGTATCAGTTGTTTTACAATCACTTTAGAACCTACTCACTCTGTTAAAATTTTTTAATTCTTTACCACCTGTAAAGCTCCTTACAAACTATACATATAATGTTATGCAGAACATAAATGTTCAGTCATAAAAAAATACTTCATCTAGATCGTGTTTTCTTGAATGTTAAGGAGAGTTTCTTATTAAAATTAAACTGCATTAGAACTGTTCTGTCGAAATGTTTCATAGAATTTGTTTGAATCTAAAAGTGGATAGCGAGATGTGAATTGACATTTTGATTCACAGATCAAAGATAGCAGGCTGCATTTCCGGTATAATTTGAATAGCTTGAGAACTGAAGAGCGTGATATCTGGCTGACAGCAATAGCTGTTGACGATGGACAGTGGCATACTGTCAGAGTTTCAAGGTATGGGTCTGCTGCTACTTTAGAATTGGATGGCGGTGAAGGAAGAAGGTTCAACGAGACCTTTTCCTTCGAAGGCCACCAGTGGCTACTGGTTGATAAACAGGAAGGCGTTTACGCGAGTGGGAAAGCAGAATACACGGGTCTTCGGACATTTGAGGTGTACGCAGATTATCAGAAAGGTAAAACCTTACTTTTGCATTACGTCGCATTATACAGCTGATCGCGCTGTACTTACATATTAGAATTATCATAAAGTACAAATTAAACTGAACGAATTTCTTGTGTGGAACACGTATAGCGCATAGTATACATATTCGCTTACAATTATGTAATATACATCTAAGAAACATAAGAATCTAATCAATACACAATGAAATAATAATATTTTGCTTAATCTACAAGCTGCGTTAAATGTTTTAAATGGAACTGTTTAATTTTGTCAATCAAAAATGAAATATGCATTTCATGTAGTCACTATATATTAGATCCTTAATTTCCAAAATAATAGATAAATATCTATGAAAATGAATGCACCAATGGTGTCTCGATATCTTGGAACAGTGGTTATACATGTTTAAATATACATATAATATTTAATTTTCAAAATTAAATTTCTCGATAGCTGTGGGTGATGAGATTCTCATTGAATATTAAGTAGCTAGAATGCAATTGAATAGTGAAATTAGTGACAGTATGTACACATTTTTTCTGTTTCTTTCATTTAGCAAGAGAAATTGGCGCACATTTTGTGTAAAAATGATGTGATACAAACATTTCATATATATTACATATGAAATGTTTGTGTGAAAGGTTTCTCACAGTGTAATTTAAAATTTATGAATCATCAAATATTGAAGGGATCGCATTTTAATAATAATAATAACAATAATATATGATAAATAATACTAATATGTGTTTCAATATTTTCATTGTTTCATCTAGGATGTCTTGATGATATAAGATTAGAAGGGAAGCATCTTCCACTCCCACCAGCGATGAATGGAACACAATGGGGTCAGGCTACAATGGCTAGAAATCTAGAACGGAATTGTCCGTCTAATAAACCCTGTAACAGTGTCATTTGTGCGGAGCCCTACGAGTGTATCGATCTTTGGAATGAATACGAATGCACGTAAGTGTTACTTAATAAGAATTATGAGACCCGATTTCAGAAAACTGTACTGTACCATGTCTATTTTACATTTGGTACATGACAGCAACAGGAATTTTTTAATTAAAGGACAGGGTCGAAATTTGGTATTTTAACAATAAAATTACTTTTGCAATATATATTATATTGTAAGTTTTGAAAAAAAAACTAGATTACTTACTATTATTTGTGAACATGTCTGATTTTTGTTCATAGGTGTGGAGAAGGAAGAATCCCATCGCCAGATAATAAAGGATGCATGGATAAGAACGAGTGCATTGATTATCCATGTTTGAATGGTGGCAGATGTATCAATCAGGATCCTCGGTTCCGATACCGATGTGTTTGCCCTGACGGTTTCTGGGGTGAAAATTGTGAACTTGTTCAAGAGGGTCAAACACTGAAACTCAGTATGGGCGCTTTGGCAGCCATTTTGGTTTGTCTCCTGATTATTTTAGGTACGTTTTACTTATTAGTATTGACTAAGCAATTGCGAATAATATATGTACTTAGTTACAATTTTCTTTTATTTTCGAGACTCATTACAAATATGCAACCTAATTATATATTTTTTTAATTAACTCAACAACATTAATCATTTTTATATACATTTTTGAAAAATCTTGTTTCATTTGGATACTAGTTCTTGGATTTTGAGCGAATCGGATTAAGCTACCGGATCAAGTTTGAAGAAAAATTAATACAATTATTGTTTTTCTTTTATCTAAAATTTCTTAATTGATAAAATTAAATTTGTTACATTACTAACATTCGTGAAATAGACACCAAAATAAGTGAACATTTGTAGTTTTACAATTACAAATTGTTAATTGAGTAACGCAGGAAGTACGAATATTATGCATTTTTTACAGTACTCGTTTTAGTATTTGTCGTGTACAATAGAAGAAGAGAGGCTCACATCAAGTATCCTGGCCCTGACGATGACGTCAGGGAGAATATTATTAATTATGACGACGAGGGTGGTGGAGAAGATGATATGACTGCGTTTGACATTACACCGCTTCAAATTCCTATCGGTGGACCGATTCCGGAAATGGGTGGAAAGTTGCCACCGTGCAAAGTACTTTGTAAGCTGTGTTATTTATTCGCTGTTCCTATTTTGCTAATATCGTAATTGTTATATATTGAAAGACTGGTTATTTGAAGGAAAATCTTTTTTCAGATCCACTAGGACCGGAGCCAAATGTGGGAATCTTTATAGAAGACCATAAAAAGAGAGCTGATAGTGATCCGAACGCACCACCATTCGATGATTTACGAAATTACGCTTATGAAGGTGGCGGAAGTATTGCGGGCTCATTGTCATCGTTAGCTTCTGGTACATAGAAATATTATATAGATAATTGAAATTTAAGAGAACCGTTTTGAACTTCAAATACACTATTACTACGCCATACCGATTCACATGATTTTGCTAGTGACCGAAGTACCTACGCTTTATAGTACGATTTACTTATTTTCACGGTAATTACAACGGTTGAAGTAAGCCACTTATACACACATAGTCCCCCTATTCTGCATAATTCTCAAAAATTCTTTTTACATACTGTTCTGTAGGAGATCTTAGGAATCGTGGCCACCGTACTAACTTTTATGACTGTATTCATGGATGAGTTTCTTATTGATAATATTCTTCATATTTCTCTAACAAACATATCCGTTATGTCCTTTAACGCGATTATTATTTATTAATTTAGCTTTGCGCATCGTTCGTTGAATTCTGTTCGGACACGGAATTATTTAAATTCAAATATCATTTATGTACTTCGACTGGGTTGCTTATTGTTAATCTTCACTGTACATATCGCATACAAATTTCATACGGTACACGTGAGAAAATTAAAACGGTTGTCACGGTTAAACTACATATTATTTCGGGACCGAAAATTTAGTAAACATTCTTCAGACATTCTGAAATAAGGATGAATAGCGTTTTTCTTGAAATTATCACTGTCACGTGGTAAAAAAAA